TAAACTACTCTCTCTCTCTCTCTCTCTCTAGCTTTTGTGTCTCTTATGTCCCCCCACTTAAGTTCGGGCTTTAATCACACGAAAAGAGAATGAATTTCAAACAGCATATCAAATCAATAGGAGGAATCATTTTTTTTAGGTTTTCTTTGTGCCTGCCTTTCTAGTCTTCATGTGGAGATCAAATTTTTTATCCATATCCTATTAATTGAGTTTTTTTTTTTTTGCCAATTATGATCAAACAAAATTTTTTAGCAAAAAATTGGATCTATGTGAGCAATTACCATAACTCCATTGGCCTAAACTTTTTCAAAATTACTTAATATTTCTGATGTTATATTTGTCATAATTTATAGTAACGATGTTTTCAAAACCTAGACGATCTAGATTGGGGATCGCCGATCCAGGCTGATAATATCTAGGGATTGCATTGATATGGAGAAGGAACCAGTACCGCCTTGTACCCCCCTAAAATTTTTGTTTTTAGTAAGAAGTATAGATAACCCTTGCCCTTATTTTTTAGACATGCCCAACCCCAATGTATTTTAAACCATTATTTTTGTATGCACCTCTACATAAGAAAGTAAGTTTTTAGGACAAAAATACGCCTATGTATGAACCAACCATCTTTCTCGAGGCTTCGCAATTTTTTGAGTTTTTTTGTCTAAAAGCTTGAAATTTGACATAGTTTTTTCTCTCAAAATTTTGAGATGATTTCTCTCTTTAAAACTTTAATTTGAGATGGTATCTCTCTCTTAAAAATTGAGATAGTTTCTCTCTCTCTAAATATATGAAATTTGAGAAAATTTCTCTCCAAGAGTTTTAGGAGATTTTTTCTCTCTAAAATTTCAAATTTTACTTTAGAGAGAAACTATCTTAAATATATAGAGGTATTTTCAGCGTAAAAAGCCTGCTTTCTTACATGGGGCTGAATGAAAAAGTGAATAGTATTGGGTTTTTTGGTCCCCTTCATAAAGTATTGGGGTGGGGGTGTCTATAATTTCCCCTTTCGTCTTTCTTTTTATTTTAGCTTATTCATATTGACGATCTCATGATTCAACATAGATATATGGGGTGAACACACATTTTGCAGCTCAGGACATAGTTTTTTAGGGCTAGGCCAGGCAAGGCCCAGTGGCTCATTGCCAGTCCTAAGTCCTATGCATGGATAGGACTCATAGTCTATTTTTTTTTATAGATCAGTAGGGGAAGGGTCTACTTATCCTTAGTAGAGATGGAACACAAGACGTGATATTGTAGCATCTACTTATCCTTAGTAGAGATGGAACACAAGACGTGATATTGTAGCATTCACCATTCTGACACTTTTGGCCTTGAGGCCATTCTTGTAGATAGTCTTCGTAGTTGACAAATTATATATGTAATACATGTAGTATTCTGATTTTGGATTGTAAATTACTTGGATCATCCACCATTAAGCTGTGAAGAAGAACCAGTGCTTTACCTAATGGGCCAATAGTAAGGGTTCGTATATGGCAATAGCTATGATGAAGAACCATGCGTACCACATGAATAGTATAGTACTTGTAGTAGGGCAGACTTTAACATGGGCTAAAAACAGCACAAAGGATAGGGGGTTAGAATGGCCAAATTTGGCGTGTTAATTGCATAGACCTAATATTTTTTCAAAGAACATGACTTCCATAATGGAATATTATGATTTGATTTTTTTTTTTTGTTTTTTTTTTTTCTGGGGTCTTCTTACCCATTTTAAAAATAGAACTCAAGATGTCATATTATGGTACCTACTGATTACATGTGCCTTGAGTCCACTCCCAATAACATATAATATTTGCTTAACAAAAATTTATTTTAATACTAATAAGAGATGAACTATTTAACATTTTTCAGCATATTTTGATTTAACTTTCAAATACCTATCAAAGATGCATGTTAGTGATTTAACTTTCAAATACCTATCAAAGATACATGATAGTGACTTGGAATAGTTGTAAGTGGGTAAAATATTGATTAAGTCACCTCTTATGGGTATTTTGATAAATATCCCTTTACATATAAGATTTCTCAAGTTCTATCATTATTCTCATTGCCATGAAACCCACCAACTTTTTCCTCTTCCTGCTCATCAAGATTTGAAATAAAAGGCACCTAAAAATAAAGAAAAAACTTTAGCGTGTTTCTATTCAAATGCATTCCCTTCCAATAAACCATGATCATGGTTTATAATATCAACCACTATGATCATAATCTAAAAAAAGTGGATTTTGATTTTAAAAGGAAATTATAAAGAATAAGAATGAATGTATCAAGCGTAAACTTACATTGTAATATTTATAATTTAGTTTTCATATTCATAATTTTGGTGACACAATTATTGGGCTATTAAATTTTAGATCCAAAATCGATCTTAGAGATTTTAAAAGGGGGCTACACTTGAAGATACACCTAAACCCCATGCTAAAAATAAGGGGGATTTGTAGCATAACCCCAAGACCAAAGAAAATATTTAGTTATGAGGGTAATCAACTAATAATTGTCCAAAGACTCCAAGATGTAGTTAACAAAAGGAAAGACACAATAAGAAAGGTTGTGGACCACAAATTCATATTGATTAGTTTTTTTTGTCAAATTTCATATTGGTTAGTTTTTTTTGTCCAAATTAATGGGGGTCACAAAAATTGGGAAAGAATTAGAGCGTGATAATGAAATATCGACAAAGAAAGATGTGAATTGGAGGTGGTCGAGATGATGGGGATCCATAAAGTGAATCTTAGATTCCATTCCTATCATGTCGAAGTTTACAATGTGTGTGTGTGAGAGATGTGATTATTCAGGACTCTCCTCTAAAAACTACTCTAAATAAAATGCATATAAACAAGTCATCATTATTATATGGAAAAACTTTATATAGAGCCGAAGCTCTAAACAATCAAATTAGAGCCCACCTCAAATATTTTACTAGAAGAGGTCGTTTTGATGCCCAAATATCCTCAAATTGATCATCACAACATTATGATGCATGGACATGAGAAAAAAATGGATTTCAAGTTATGGAAATAGTGCATCTTGTAATGCATTTTTGGACAGTAAATTTTCGAGATTTTCAAGATTTTATAGATCTGATCGATCTATAATTAAAGATGAAATATATTTTAAGGCTATTGTAAATATTTTCAGTATTAAAACCACATTTTTCGACACTATTTGCAGGTGCGCTTTACTTTGATTTTAGAGCATCGGCTCTATACAAATCGTACCCTTATTATATTAGCCTTATCCTAACTATTTACGATGTGCTATAAGAATCTTGTTCGACAATTCCACTCTATCAGGGCCACTCCCTCAATCTGACTTATGGGGAATACCTTAGCATGAACATATAACTTAAGATCAGGATTTACGATAGGGATGTGATAAAAACTGATCCGCAGGCTGCCAACCTAACACAACCCTCCTCTTTTTCTCATTCGAGCTTGGGATGGTAATCTATGGAAGGACATGATATATCATGATGCAAGATCTGCCCTTTTGAATCAAATCGATGAATAGAAAGAGGCTGACTGTCAGTTTCTTCAAATTTGATTATTTGTTCTTCTATGGAAAGGGTCCAGGAACGTCATACAAACCCTCTTAATAATACTTCAAAGTGTGCTTGATCGTCCTCCTTCCTAATAC